GGGTGTAGTTCAATAGAAAGAAAATAGTTCCTACATGAAACTGCTCATAACAAGGTCTGTGGATTATCTTGAGTAACTGGGTCATGATTTACTGAAAAAGATGTTGCTGTTGAGGTTTTGGCGCTTTCAGCACCACAAGACGAGTGCCATCTGGTTCCATTATATTGGAGAGAAGGCAGGCATCGGCAAAACTCAGCAACTCACAACAAAACAATGTAGATGATTAGCACTACAGGTAAGAAGAAAAATATGTTTTTGAATTTGGGGTGAACTGTCCCTTTAAGGAGATGATTTACTATGTTTGTCAGTATGGCGGTTGTTAAGGGTGGCTGTTTTTGAATCAATCACATTTTCCATGACGACATTTTGCCAAACAATGTTCTGAAAGCAGTGGCCTGTCCGACACATTCAGGTTTTGAATTTGACCTAGGAGCTGTTCAGGCCATAGCATAGTCCTGAAAGATCATACACTTATGCAGTCGGTGACAAACCAGCTCACACACGCATGTACACTGTACATTGTTGCAGGACGCCTTAAACATAACTGGGACATTTCTAGTCCTACAATTCCTCCATGCTGCAGAGTTTACAATGGCACCCCCCTCTAATGGCCTACTGCACTGTGTGAATAATGATGATGCTATGTATGAAAAGGTTTGCTCACACAGACACACCTCTATGAAGTGCACTAGTGCTACGGAATTTGTATTTTCGAATTGAAACCACAGGCTCAAAAAAAGCCCCTGGCTCGTTCTGCCAGAACACATTCAGAGCAGCATTTGTAGAAAAACTGAGGGCACATGGAAATCATTGGTTGAGAGTGGAAAACAACCATTTCAGGGGTTGCAGATTTCAAGCATTTGGAATACTTACCCATTATTTTTATAAGGATTAATTCTTTAAGGTTGCTGCTCTCACTGCACAAATTCCCATGCAGACTTAGAATATATTCCCCCCCATGCTTACAGCATCAGATGTAAAAAAAGTTACATTTTAATTTAATGTATGTATATAATTTGTTAATTCCATAACGTGCAATGTGTGGAATAGGCTTTGAAAGGTTTCAGGAAGTTTAAGTAGACACATGTGATACCTGAGCTTTGCGTATTGGCCGATTCGAGTATCTATATGATACAAGTGTTAAAAAATTCAGTATACTACTAAGCCTGTATGATTGCTATCATTGTTGCATGGCCTGAAATCCTGACCCAAGGCAGGTCATGATTTTGTTATCCTGGGAAACAAAATGGTTAACCGGACACTGCTGGGAAGTAGCAGGATCCGGTTTTGGGACTAAAAAATGATGTGGTACTGGAGCGTTGCCCAGATAAGCATACTGGCCGATACCAAATTTGACATAGTATCAGAAGAATTTCTGACATTCAGAGATGATTTGCTATATATACAAGTGCTCAGGAGTTTTGTTAAAAAAAAGTGTATTCATATGATTCAGTGCTTCATTATGAAGGCGAAGATGGTACATATGAGAAGGCATCCACAATATCTTTCTGCCTGGTGAAGGATGCAGATGTAGTCAGGTCTTATTTGTGCTTCAGAAAGCTATACTGCTTAGGGCTTGAAAATACACCAAATGTATCATCAAGTGCAAATATACCCTCTAATATTTATTTTCAGTCATAGAGTCCAGCTCTGACCCTCTGCTCTGCTCAAAGTGAAATTCAGAATCCCAGTCAATGAATAAAGAAAGCAAGTTGTGACTTGGCAGTCTCAGGCAAACGCTGTGTGACCTTTGAATCCTCTTGAAGTGAGTTCCTGTCTGATGAAATCAAACTGAGGTGGAGGGGAGGGGGAGTTATTTTGCTCTTCACTGAAACCAAAGAGACAGTATTGGCACAAGAAAAGGAGCCACGGTAATGAACGTCTCACTGACTGACTGACATTCACGACAGGACACATAGCTTCCCTTTTATGTAGCTGTGGACCTCTGCCTCTTATTAAGGAATGTAACTGATTTGTAAACTGATGTTTAACTGCTTGATAATGCTTATCTACTAATAGAAGGAAGGAGCCAATTATCATCACACAGCTCTCTTGGCACAGACTGTTCATTCCTTAGGGAATCTTTGCTCTCTTGCCTCTCAGCTGGATTCAATCAACAGCCGATACAGCTATGGGAAACTGTTAAAGTCTCACCCACTGTCCTTTAGCTGTGCACAGACCAACAACAGCACTGCAACAGAAAACACATTCGGCCAGTAAAAATATTGAACCTGGCTCACATTTCTCCTCACAAACTGTGCAGACTGAGGATGAAGTCGATGACTCCCGTGATTATTCAGTGTTTTGGTGTCTGATAAGCATTTAAGCCCCTAGATCAAACTGACTCAAACTGGACTTTGTGGATCTTTTTGCAGGTAACTGTTGCAACATGTCCACATTATCATAGCCCCTTGAATTGCACACAGGATTGTGTCCTGTGCCTGCTGTGCTCTGTGGGTCCAGCTTCAATCTCTCAGGTCAGGGTTGTGATTGTGTTGTCCCGGATATAGATGCTGGCCAGTGAGGGAGTGAGAATCTAAATCAAAAGTAATTTTCTCATATGAACTCCAGACAATGCATGAAGTGTCAGGTTCTGACAGGAGATTGTCCAAGTCAGACGTATTTTTACCCACTGGAAATACTGCAATGGGTGGCACCTGGGTAGAGCATGCAGGAGGAGGACTCAACCATAATGATGACGTATGGTCTATCCACAATATCAACGAACTAGTGGATAGCAATATACAGGAAAGCAGAAAAGAGTACAGAATGCAGAATGGGTGGTGCTTGACATATCAGTATTTTTGTCATGGCTTTCTTAATGGCAATCACCATTATTCTATACGTGTATGTTTTTGAAAAGCCAAGAAGCTGTGGTGACCAATGACCTGTTCTATTATGTAAACAGCTTCACTACCAGCCAATCAGTCTTTTACGTAACATTCAGAGTGCTTTCTTCCAAAGGAACTTGCATGTTTGCCTCCACATACACATAGTGGGAACAGTTTGCAGCTTAGTTTCCTGGACCCGGGAACTGAAACACAAACTCCTGTGATTAATGGCTGGCACACTCTGACACCAAGCCCCAAAATTACTTTACATAAAAATGCACATCTTATTTATTAAGTTTAAAATTACATAATTACAGTCTATATATATACCCATAGCCTTATCTTTTTGTATTGGAAATTATTTCTACTATTTTTTCTTTTTCTGTTCCAGTTGTGTGGAAAACTGTTTCATATGATTGCTCTCATAGTTGGATTGGAAAATTCGTTAGGCAAGTTTATAGCCAGTTTGTGAAACCGGTTATCCAGGATCAGCCAAAACAAGCTTATTGTGACCAGGTAGTCCAAGTGACACCGAGTTGAACTTGCTTTGTGATACAGGCTCCACTGGTTTTTCTGAGCTCCCAACCTGGATACCGGCTCTTTTCTTTCTGGTGGATGACATGCACAGGAGCAGGAAGTCTTATACATTGGGATGATTGAATGTTTGAAGACTTGTGTGATTTCCATGCTGTAGGCTGTAAGCTTTAGCTGCATCTAGCGCAGTTGGAATGCTTTCTCGGTGACTGTCAGAGGACAAAAGCATAGGTCAGGTGACACAGGATGAGGGTACATCTTAATTGCTTTGAATTTTGCACAGACCTCTCTCTGGTGGTCACTTTATATTCTATACAGGCAGCAATTAAGATTTGTATTGAGCCCTAGATCCATTGAAACTGCTTGGAAGGGGCAGCTCCATACATGCTGTCACACAGTGAGCTTCGGTGCAGTGGAATTCTTCTCCCAAAACCCCCCGCGCTCTTCCCTTGGCTGCTTTATTTTCCCAGTTTTGGGATGGGAACGGGCGGTGGAGGAGCTGAGGGCAATTGAGGCAGAATAACACCAGTGAATGGAAGGGGGGCTCTCGGACGATGGGCCTCGCTCACGTCTTTTATCCCTGGCATTGAAAGGAGATGGAGGGTGGCAGCTCAGTCCACTGGGTGCCAAGCTCCCTGGTCTTTGAGGATATGGCCCAGTGCACGGCCCAGGTGTCAGTCACTGTGTCGAGCCTGATGCTGCATCTCAATGCCCTCACACAAAAGTAAGCAGGAGGAGGCCTGTGAAACTGCAAGCTATGAAAGAAGTGAACTGGCGGGGGGAGAAATGCTAGCTGGAGTGTATGTAGTTAAGCTGGCATCCTTTTCACTTTGAACACCAGAGAAATGTATGTCCACTGAATGGGCTCATGCATATGAATAAAACCAAGTCTGCACTAACATATACCGCAGGTCCTTTTTTATAAAGTTTTTTTTTTTTTTTTTTTCAAACAAACCAGAAGCATTTGAATTAGGTTATATGTTGTTTTATTTGACCTTCTGTATGGGGGTTGTCCCAGTTAATTGAATTTCAGTAAGTCATAAGAATTCCATCATCCAAAAGATTTTTCCATGGTAACATAATACAAATAATGGTTTATCATGAGGAAAATTTTTGTGATTATTTTTTTAGATACAATTTTGTCAAAGGTCGAGTGTGTAACATTTAGGAGGATCTACTGGTAGAAATGGAATATAATATACATAAGGTAATGTTTTATTAGTGTATAATCACCCAGAAAATAAGAATCATTGTGTTTGTGTTGCATTTTATACCTACAGGGAAGGCAAGTTCGCTCTTCTCTTTTATAAGGAGTTCGGTCTAGACCCCTGCTCCCCTATTCTGAAATGTCGCGGAGGTTAACTTTCTGTTATGAATTGGCGCTATACAAATAAATGAATTGAACTGAATTCTACAGAGTCCGCCATGTTGATCCACCAGGGATGGGAGGGTTACTTTAAAAATGTAATCCGATACACTTACTAATTACCTGTGTAGTCAGTACTCTAATCCTAGTATCACAATAATAAAGTAATGTACGTTGATTACTTTACGTTAATTTTGGATTACCTCAACATATAATATGCCAGTAAAGAGAGGAAGAAAGTTTCGATCTGTGTGTATTCTATAAGGCAACCGAACAATGTAACCTTTGAAGAAAAACAATCCTGCTAATAATCCCAATTTTTGCTAAATGTACTTGTCTCATTATGTATTTTCCCCTCTTACAACAATGTTTCTACAGTATCCAAGAACAGACAAACCAAACACTGGCTCTAGATTGGGTCTTTGGGATTATTTTGCAAGTTTCGCAGCTATCATAGTTTCTCCTACACACTTGGAAGGCTGAGCTCTATTCAAAAGGTTGCAGTATTCACTGTTAGATGCCACTGAATTCTACACACTGGTCTATCACTAGTGTTATTCTACTGCCTACATATGTCTCACTTGTCCCACCTTACACCATAGTACAACCTAACACACTGTCTGTCTCTGCTTGAATGACATTACTCACGAACTATGCGATGAGGCATTTTGTCAATGAGTTTAGCCTCAGTGTATCGTCTCCTCTTTATTTCCTCCCAAGTTTTTGCCCCTCTCTCCTCTCCACAATGAGCCACATGATTGGGTGAACTGGCCTCCTCGCGACTCACATTTACAGTAAATTTAATTGTGTCCCTCGTTAACTTATTAAGCTTCCCGCGCAGAAGTGGAGGGGGAGTCCGGGGAACATGTGACGTAGGCTCTTTCAGAATCAACTTGGGTTGTCTGTTAGACTGAAGTAAAAAACAAATGCTCCACTTTAACCCCTTGCCCCCTGGAGCTAAAAGAGAGTCAATCATGCTCATCATTGGTATCTGTATGTTTTGCATGGTACAACATTGAGTCAAGATAATCAGTGGTTTTCTTTTGAAGAAGAGAATGGTGGCTATTGAGGTTCAGACTTTCAGATGATGCTGGGATGGACAAGTATTCATGAGAGTTTTAGTGCAGGGCTCGAAACCAACGTTTCTTACTTTCCTAAAACTTTTATCGGGGAATGCTAACATCGTTCCAAAGCAGCCACATGGACAAGGCTGCTGATTATCTCAGAATGCTAGATAATCTGGCGACCGATTTAAGCGGTTTATCGCTAGTCTAAAATTGCTTTTCCCAAAGAGATATGACTTGTCACGCTGTAACCATAATGAGAGCATCATTAGTCAAACATTAGTGTGAGTGCACGTTTGGGAAGTATGATGATGTAAAGTACTTCACACGTCAATAAAAACAGTACAAGGCAAAGAAGTAACACAGACAGACGCTAGTACAAACAGTAATACAGAACAACCACATTAATAGCAGTGTTTCCATCAACTTAGTTTGATGAGCATTTTAAAGAATCGCAATACAAAACGTTGATGGAAATGGATAGAAAATTTAGTTTATCTAGTAGGAGATGGAAACACATTTTACAGAAAAGTTCTGACGTAGCGAACATGACTGAGATGTTTTCACACTCCTCATCCCTCCCATGCTATGATGCATCGATGATCACAACAGAAATGTCATATTTCCATCCTGTTTCCTGCATTGATTTTCATCGTTTGAGCTTTTAAATTCACCATCTCTCTGTTTTCCCGACTGCATAATTGGAGCTACCTACTGCTTATGACGTGAACTAACTCCTAACTCCTCCTGAACTAACTCCTAATTTCACTGGCAGCCAGTGAAGTGACGTCACTGGAAGGATTAGGAGATTCTTGAGTTTCTTGCTGCAGCATTATGGGCCAGCTGAATTTTTGTCACCAATAAGTTATTTCAACGAGTAAACAATGAATTACAGTTGTACAGTCGGGATGAGATAAAGAATAGCAAAACGTTGTGTTAATGCATGATGAACAGTTCTGACCTCCATCCTTACAGAAACCAAAACTACTGGTGTCTTTACCACCAGGGCAGTTTTACAGCGATACAGGACTAACAGCAGGCCAACAGTGTGACCTATCCTTTCCACAGCTGTTTCTCTGTCATAATCTGTGTAAATTGGCTGTTACAGTTTAAACAGCTTGTAACAGTCCATGCCTGGCTTTCATAATTAACACCTTGCAGTGGCTTGATCCAGTTTATGTGATGTATTTACAGTGTGATATTTCCTGAATTAATTAGTTGATGAAAATTGTGGAACACCTATGGCTGGCTATGTCCGGGTTAGGGTTAATTCTAGGCAGAGGAAGGCAGTGTTTGTCATGTACATTTTTACAGGACAGGCCTTGCACAGTACAACGCATTTGGTCTTGAATTGCAGGAGAACGTAGGGGGGAATGGGTTGCTCTTCACTTAGGAGATCCAGATCCAAATACACAGATGTTCCTGCCAAGAAAAGCAGGTGCTGCAAGGTTGGAATATTTGCTTTTGGTGCAATTTTGTCTTCTGAGAGTCAAGTGCTTCTAGTCAGAGCTTCAAAGCAGAGAATATTCCCTCCCCTGCTGTAACCGTTTTGATCTCTGAACCAAAATAGATTAGAATATGTAACCTTACCTCCCTCTTTCTGTGCCTATCTGCCTGTCCATATTTGTCTAAAAATTGGGAGAAAGTGTATAAAATGAGCTTCAAAAACTACACAGGTCATCAAGAATGCTGTTGAAATCTGGCAGGCAACCCCTCAATCATTGTTTTGTTTCAGATCCAATGAGCCAAACCAGTAGAACATGTGTTACTGTTTGTTTATTAGCTTCTGTATAACAGTCGCTATTCTTCCTGGGGTCCACACAGTTTATAGGGTGACAATACTATACAAATATACACAATCACACACTGTCATCATATGTGTAGTATTTAGATGAAAACCCGCATTATTTCAGCAGGCAGTTTGTAGCAGCATAATTTCATTTGTTAAAGTCAAGGGAACTACACTGAGCTGTAAATTGAACAGAGAGCTCTAAAGACATGTTTGACTAAATATGAGGAAAATACCAGAATATTGTGCTCATATTGGAAAAGAAAAGCAACCCAGCCGGGGTTGGGTTTCTCATCTTGTCCAGACTTCCTTCCTCAGAGCAATCAAATGGGTGTAGGTCTTGTGTCATGTTCCACTTTCTGTGCAAAGGAAAGCCACATCAGCTGCACACTGTAAACTCCGCTTTGGGGCGAAATTCGCCCGCTGCTGTAAACATAACACCAGGGTCATGTGTAGTTCATGTCTACAGACTAGCTGGCAGCTAGTCACTTGGAAATATGGAAACTGAAGGTGGTTGGTTGAAGATACTGTGGTTCAGAGGCTGTGTGATGTTGCTATTATGGAAAAATCTACACTTGTATCTCTCATATCATCTGAACTTGAGCTGAACCCTTCTCACTTCACAAACAGGAAGTCACTTCCCCTTTTTTCTCCTTTGTAGGTGTCGTTCAACGTGAGCATGGAGGCGAGGGGCTGCCCTCCCCGTGGCACTGACCAGAGATTCACCATCAAGCCGGTGGGGTTCAAAGACCGCCTGGAGGTGCTTGTGGATTACCAGTGTGACTGCGGCTGTAGCCGGACGGCGCAGACCAACAGCAGCATCTGCAGCTCCATAGGTGCTCATCTTGCATTACAGCTTTCCATTTATTTCTGCACATATCGGCATACAGTCATACAAAGCCCAATCAGTTTAGACGATCCTGTTTTACATTCACTTTTATTTGACAGACTTAAACTCTGGTGCCTAATTAGCAGCATATTTTCTTCTCTTTTGTCTTACCTGAGCGCATTGTTTAATGTTAAACTGTAGTGATCAACAACTTCTTGCAGGAAGAAATTGTTGAAAGCAAGTGGACACAAATGTAAAAAGCTCCTGTGCCTGTAAAGAATTGGTAAAAACCATGAGCCTTGTTAATCACACGGGAGAGAAAACTGCTGCTCTCCTGCTTCATGTAGTTTGAATCTTTCAAGGAGGTTGAACGCCTCAATCAGTGGTGTCAGAACTGGTATTTTGACTTGAGTAACTAAGGAGAACTCCTACTTTTACCCTATTAATTGACTACTTTCTTTGGTGTGATTATGGAGAGGCTGTCACTGCTGTTGAGATAATGATAGCCATAAAAGCCAAAATTATACTCAGACCGTATTTTTAAACTTGAGCTATAGAGATATTTTAAATCCAGTAGGCATTGAGTTATATCACTTATCAAAAAAAAAAAAAGAATTCTCTTCTCCAATGTGAATATTTTCTGCTTTCTTCAGTCCTCTATAACAGTAAACTGTATGTCTTTGGGTTGTAAACAAAACAAGACATTTAAGGACATCACCTTGGGCTTTTGGGAAACACTGATCACTGACATTTTATGGACCAAATAACTAATAGATCCTTTGAGAAAACAGATGAATGGATAACAAAAATAATGGTTAATGGCAGCCCTATAGCAAAATAGATTAAGAGGCATACAGGGACATCAAAGTTGTACACCTAAATCTGTGTAATGAGTCATTACAATAAAGCAACTCTCGCCCTTGCAGGCACTTATAACTGTGGGACCTGTCACTGCGAGCCAGGCTACCTAGGCGCCCGCTGCGAGTGCCAGGAGGGCGAGGCCAGCAGCATGTACCTGAGTGCCTGTCGGGAGGCCGAGGGCAAGCAGATCTGCAGCGGGCGAGGAGAGTGCAGCTGCAACCAGTGTCTGTGCTACGAGTCTGAGTTTGGCAAGATCTACGGTAGCTTCTGCGAGTGTGACGACTTCTCCTGCGCCCGACACAAAGGCATCCTCTGCTCAGGTAGGAACCTCACCAACACACTGTCTGCGTTTCAGCTGAGGCTGACTTATGAACTGTATTTCATTTCCACTGCGTTGCTGTGCTTGTAGCAAGGTGCTGGTTTAAAGTACAGCTGTTGGGAGACCGCTTCTCCCTGGGACATTGAAATTAATGAGAATACAAGCTGACATCAAACATGCAATAAACTCTTCTTAAAGATCTGCTGCTTGTTGCGGGTTATAAAAAAATTATGCACATTCATGATGTCGAATCACGTTCCCATACCTGCTCTGGGTGTGTCTCTGTGGTTTGGCCTTCTCCTGACTCCAAAACAACCAACCCAGCTTTTATTTTCTGAGTGAGCTGAAGCAGTCACCTGCAGTGCTCCTGGCTTTGCTCCCAGAAGAAGCTCAGAGGAGCAGCTGCAATAGTAGTTGTTCAGATGTTCAACCCGTGTTTGTGTATGACACTTGGAGCGATGGAGGACCTGTGAGTGTGTTTGCTGGAACAGAGATTGAAATAAATATGAGCCAGATTTAGCACAGGAGATGTGTGACAGATTAAAACCCAAGAAGATTTTATAGTGGCTCTCAAAGCCTTGAGCGGAGACACTGTAGCCTTTAATTATCTCCATTTTGCTGTCCCGATGCATGAATATGCTCTGTTAGTCAGCGATTCACATGCTGATGCCAACTTGAAATCATCCTCCTCTCGCTGAGCCCTCCTTGCTTTACTCTGATGCCCAGAGAGACTCGGTATGAGAAGGCGGGTTTGGCTCAGAGTATCTGCCCTGCTATACCAAACAGGCTGGGGCCGTTGTGTTCCCAGAACATCGGGTCCAAGACTCCTGGGTAGGAGGGGGGTAGGAGGGGGGCAGGCGGGGGGCACTGGCTCATCCCCAAGCCAACGGCTGTTCCCGTGAAACCACAGAGAGTGCTTTGTGACAGTGGGGCCGGCTTTGGCGCGATCCCCTAACACAATGCCTGCCTCTATTTATCTATCTCCAGTAGAAACAGAAGTCTTTGGTTTAGTCAGCAGTAGGGCCGGACACACAGAACGCACAGATGCAGAATGGCTGTTTGTTTGTTTCGATCATCCATAAGCAGTCATTAAATCTTAACAGTCCACTACCTTCTGCTGCTCTTCTCCTCTCTCCTCCTTTCTCAGCATGGTCGCCCAGTATGGAGTCATAATGAGTTCCTAATGATACCAAGCGGTACGCCTCCTCCACACTTTCCTCCCCTCATCCCTCACCCCTCTGAATCTGTCAGTTAATTATCGTGGAGAGGCCTGTGTAAGGCACACTGTAAAAACTATTCTGTGTCCGCACATTTCTAAAAGCCTACTGGAAATGCCATTATGGCCTGTTTTGAGCCTCTTAGCAAGCAAAAAATATCTTGTAAATAGTATTGTGCCGCACCTGGATTGGTCACACTCCACTGAGAGCTGCTCATTTAGTCTTATGTCTGGGAAAATCTGGGGTGTTCAGACTGATAAACCGCCTAAAGGCACAGCAGGTTTTATTAAAGAGGAAATCAGCTGGCATGGTATCCTCAGTGGGGTTTTTTTCTTCGTCTCTTTGAATGTCTGAAAGTAGTTTTCCCATGGAGCTCAGTGAGGGTGCAGCCTGTGAATCTGAAATGCTGGTTGACAGTGTGCCACAGTCACACTTACAGATCATGTGTGGTATCAGTTGTTAAACTTGTAGTATTCTTGTCTTGGCAACATGAGCTGCTGTGCAGTTACACTGGTCCATTTACTCCTATAGATCAGCTAGAGGATATATCACTTAACTAAACGCAGACAGCATGCACTGTTAGTAGGGGGGCCCTGGGGTCTTAAAGGTCCAGTGTTTAACATTTAGGAGGATCTATTGGCAGAAGTGGAATATNNCATTAGTGTATAATCACCTGAATGCCAATAATCTGGATTTCAGGCCTTTCAAATGTCATCCATATGATTTTGACAGTTCTTAAAAATGTATTTGATTAATTAAGTCAACGCTACTGGTATAAAGTTGCATTTTTCAGACCCCAAAAATGTACTGATCATGCTGTAACAACCACAAAAAGAAACCAACATAGAACCAATACTGATTTTCATACTTTTTTGCCAGTATGGGTGTAAGGTGGTCTTAAATTGCATTCATAATAGTCTTAAAAAGTCTTGAAACGTACAGAAACCCTTTGCCAAGGTGACTGGATGCAGGTGTTGTTGCTCAGCACTGTTCTCCTCTGTCTGTTAGAGTTTAGACAGTATATGACATATGAAATTGAAATATTGGCACGTGTGTTCTGTATGTTTGTTGTTTAAAACCCAGACTTGGCACTTGAGTCATCATCTCTTCAAGGAAATATTTTCTTCTTCCTGTCAGTGCATGTCAACACTTGCAGTGTAGCTGTTGCTGTTTCTGTGTGGTATTGTCTCTACTTTTATCTCTCTGCCTGTGTTTGTCTTTGGTTCATACTGGTCCAGTCTGCCACTTGTACAGTGTGATGTAAAAACTTGAAGCCACCAGTGCACATCCACTGAAAATGGACTTTACAGTGATTAGTAGGAGAACATCTTGTGTCCGCAAGGAAAACTTTAGAGATTCCCAAACAACATTGTAAGATTCTGGAAGTTTTAATGAGACAGAAGGAGGAGATTACTTTATAAGGATTTTTTTATGTGGAAATTATATTATTTTGTGAAAAAAATGTAACATACCAGACACACATTATTTTTAATATTTGACCTTGAAAATAAAACTTTGCCAAAACACTACCAGCTCAAAGTTCACTTGTTTGATTTTTCAGGAGTATATCCCGTGGATGGAATTGACTCAGTTGTCATGGTCAGTTAGTAATGCTTGAGGAAAAAGACCTTGAGATTGTTTTGACAAACTACTTTCTCTAAGTCCAAGAATGAACTTACAGAGACTAGATTACACAGAGTTGAATGTGAGGACAGCAACAGAAGCAGGCAGCACTCCGCACCCAGCTGTGGCTCACACCTGCTGGCCAGGCTGGTTGTTGGGTTGAGGTGTGTGCATGTGCGTGTGTGTGCATGCATTACATGGGTGTATATGCATTGCAGTGACACGAGGCAGCCGAACCAGCCAAAACCACTGGAACACACAGCTCCCCAGTGTGCCTTCATGCTGGTGTACCAGGAGCGTTACTGCAAGACAGCAAATACCTGTTCGGTAGAGGAAACAGCCCAAAATCATGGCCATATTTCCTACTTACTAGCTGCCTATTTTTTCTCTTGTATCATAATAAAAGTTGCTACAATGGCCTCTTGCCATCAGTGACTGAAAGATATCTTCCTCCTCTCACCCAGCTGAAAGGTGTGTTTGTGATGCTCGGCTGTGATAAGATATCTCTGTGGCAGCTCAGGTAATCTCACATTTAAGGCTGATGAATAGATGAGTTTTGTGCTGGTTTTCGTTACAAAGGCCCAGTAGAAGTCATTGAGCTGTTGAATATCTATATGAAGCTTACACTGTATTGTGCAAAGGATAGTAATAGTACAGTATTGGTATGTAACTACCCAGCTGTTCTTCTGTTCCAAACATTCTGAACTAAAACATTGTTCCTGTGGGAAATATCAAATGAATCTCTCTCTGAGCACTGTAGATGTTTCTAAAAATGGCCTGCCAGACCCAGAGTGCTTAATACAGCAGATGTTTGCTTTCACCAACTGACCTCTAGTTAAATCAGTATTGTATCATATCAGTCAGTAATGTAGAGCAGCTCATTTGACATTTCTTGTGGAAGAGTTTGAATATAGATATATAGCATTTTCATTATTATAGTATTATGATATAACTTAAATGTTGTCTGGTGTTAAAGGTTGCTATACAACAATTTTCTAAACTTTTCTGGCATTAAATGAATGTTACTCTTTTATATATATCATCATTAAATCCATCCACTGTTGTTTTCTTAGACTTTTCTTCTTTTTTGGTATGTGGAATGTTGAAAGCAGCAGTGCCATGAAGACTGCAGCAGTAGCATCCTCAATACTGGAGGTTTCCCCAAATGTTTGTCTGTATGAAGAAGTGTTTGGAAGCAGGAAGGAAGGACTCACTGTATCTGGGGTCAGATGGCCTGTGGTGGACGCCTGTCTGTCTCTGAATGTTCAGTAATATTATCCTGTCTGCGTGGCCATCTGTCTTTGTGTTTATGTCTGTACCTGTCTGTGGTTCTCTGAGGAGAGTCCTCAATGTGAATGACGTGCAAACAGAATGGCCTGATTCAGAGCCCTGTGATGTTGTTAGTCTTTGTATGATTTGCTCACCATTAATTGTTTCTTCAAGACATGTGTTTTCACAAGTGAATAAATATCAGCTGCTATATCTGTATCAGATGGCTTTTTACTGATATCATCATCTCCCTCAGAAATCCTGTGTTGCTCGGGTTCTTCTCTCCTGTCTGTGTTTAACAAGGCTCGAGTAAGTCTTGACTTGCTAGTTCTCCTGCCCCCCTGACCCACATCTCCACTGCCGACTGCAGCTGGTTCTAAATAATGATCTAAGCGCTCAGCAGTCCCCGGCTGCCAGAAATAGCGCAGCTTTATTTTCCAGACTTGCACAAACTCTCTTTCTACCCCATAAATACAACTGCTGTCCCAAAGCTGCATCCTTGCATACAGTGTGTGTGCGCATGTGTGTGTCTCCTTATAGGGTAACAGGGAACATATGTGTTTACTCATGTCGGTGCCGAGCAGTACTGGAACCTAAAGTGCCTTTTGGCTTAATGGGCCCATGTGTTCTGTCAGAGGAGCCGTCAGTTAAACACAAGAGATTAACTTTTGTCTGCAGGTGAAAGAGAGAGGTTCAAGGTGTTATCCCAGTCGCAGCAAAGACGTGTTGAAACACAGGTAACAGTCCTAAAAGTCACTTTCACCATGAAGAAAATATGTGCAGTTTCATGTTGTGCCCAGAAGAACTCGTTTTTCTCTCGTCCTGTTGTTACAAGTAAACTTGCCCTTTCCAGGAGAAATATCAGTTTCTTTAAGACAAAGGCTTTTGTTGT